TTTTTTTTTCCGTTCTTTTTCTTCTTTCTCTTCTTCTTCTTCTTCTTCTTCTTCTTCTTCTTCTTCTTCTTCTTCTTCTTCTCCTGCTACTGCTACTTCTTCCCCTCGCCGTTCGTGACCTTGTGCAAGATGACATCTTCAAGTGTGGCAGAAACTTCGAGGGGGAAGGAGGTGGTGGGTTCGGACTCTATGGCCAGGCGCGTTGTCGCACCTTTACTAGTCGGGCCACATCGTTTGACCAGAAGTCAACAGGCTGTCAAGCAGGATTTTCTTGATATTTGCAAATAAATAAAATAAAGCAAATCCCTTCCTGTTGTATATATCCGGCTTCGAGTGAAACCCTTCAAATGTGATCTTCATCGGTCCCTTGTCTTAGGAATCTTTTTTTTTATATTTGAAACAACAAACATCATGAAAATAATAAATTACAAAATTTTGTTGTGCCATGCATGTATCGATTCTACCAATTTACTAATTTTGGAAACTATGACAAGGTCATCAGAAAGCGCAATCATTAAGCAAAGTCGATGGAAACGTAGTCAGGCTGACTGACTGAAGGGTTAGGTAAGTGAGGAAAAAATGAAAACTCTTAATAATTTAAAAAAGTACAGATGAATGGAAACGGACAACACTCGTCAAGAGTCCTCACTCAACCCTCTAAACTTTCATGATCAATCACTCATCTGGCTGTGTGTCTCTCGTGCCTCAAGCTATGTCCATGTACTTCCTGAGATTGTGTTCTCTGAATGTAGAGCCACTTAAAACCAACAAGTTCCGAACACTTTCATCCAGGGCCCATGATACGAGATCAACCATAGCATAAAATTTACAATATAGTGTAGGGAGATATGACTCAGAGAAGATCCCTCATCTGAGATGCCGGAACTCAGATGGTTTGGTCACTGCCTCGTCGTCAATCTTTGCTAGAGAAATGTACCTCTTCGCCAAAATCAAGTCACCCCAGAGAACGAAAGGTATCAGAGGCCTGGGATAATAAATATAGAGCTTGGGTCTGGAGCTACGGATCAGCTTCGTGCTAGTCTCATCAAACTCTCTCTCCTTCTCCTCTAGATATATTGTTGCAGAGCTCTAAATTTAGTAGAATCGTTCATGAGCCTCCTTGCCTTTCTTCACACAGAGTCTCGGGTCATGGATAGTGTCACCGACGAACCTGGTAAGAACAACAAATATTGATAGAACCCCTTGTCTAAAACCAACCGCACCGACATGTTGATATCCGAAAGCATCTCTGGAAGCGATTCTGTAGAGTATGGTTAAGACTGACCCCGCGATTGTAAATGACTAAACTACACTAATGTGAGGAGGTGGATATTGAAACTAATCCAGTGTCGTTTGATGAAACCACTGTCTGGTTGATACCTATGTATCACCCGCAGTCGTGACCGCGGGCCATTTGACCACACGAGGTGGGCATCCCGACCGCAGCGGGCGGCGCCCCCGGCCAAGTGCAGTCGAAAAACCCCGACATTTTTAAATCATGGGATAATAGGCCAAAAACTAAAATAAAAATATGGGGTTGTAGGCTTTTGTGTGCTCTACAACTGTATATTTTTAGTTTTATTTTTTTACTTATTTTTTAATTAAAAAAAAATGAAAAACAGAGATCCCTCAGGCGAAAGTTTTTCACTTCATTCTTTTAGTAAGAAAAATGAAGGATTTTATTTAATTTTTATCTCATATTTGGTAACGAATTTTGATATGACCCCAAGGCAAAAGTTGTTCAGTTTATTTTTGGGCATAACATATATATTTCTTCATATTTTTCTGAATTCTTTTGTTTTTTTGTTTTTTTTTTCATGACCGCGGACCACGGTCTTGACCGCGGCCTCGCGGCCGAGACCACGGTCCGCGGTCGTGCCCGCGACGAACACGCCTGCAGGGGATTCATAGGTTGATACTGATCTCTGGGGCAAATGAAAATGACTGAACGTTAATTAATTCTAACTAAAGCTTTATGATAACTCAAATGACTGAATGTTATCTTAATACAAGTCTCTCAATACTGATCGCTTGATAGCGGGACACTGAGAGAACTGCAAATCACTAAGTGACATTTGCTAAATGAGATTGTGTTGGGGATTTCGAGAGAAGATTCTGGGCACGTTTGCGCTCACTTGAGCCTTGCCCTGGCCTTCTCCACCGTCTCTCGAGAGTGTTGTGCAGCTTGTAGTTGCGGCCATAAAAATCAAAAACATATTCAATATACTTTTCCTTTCAGATCATCCGGACTGCCTGTTCTTTCTTAACCTGTTTATGGGAATCCATATCTCGACATGCATCTCTCTCTCATACCTCCTTCTTATCTCTATTAGATTTGTGTTTCATCACTAGGACTTCATCGTCCTTCGTGATTTCCTCCACACTCCAGAACTCAGGCAACACATATGATAGACTGTGGAGGGCTTTGGTGGACTCCACACTCAAGGCTGAAAACAACGTCCCAAGGTCGTTGATGCTGGTTAGGATGTTTAGGAGTTGCCGAGCACTTCAACGCGGGTCTTGCGCCACTACTGAACTTTGGTGTTTGTACTCTGTTGCGAAG